CCGATACCCTTCATTCTGATTTGGAAGTATTTTTCAGTTATGTCAGGGTAAAATATCGTCTTTAGTATGTTTCATTATTATTACTATAGTGATTTTTGTCGCTAATAAATGGCTTTTTGATGTAGAATATACGTCAGGTCGTGTAATCCAAGCAGAACCCCCAAGTTCACTGGTGTGTTCGCACTCCGTAGTCGCTATCCTTTATGTCTGCCCACCTCTGTTCAAAATTCTGCCTTGAAAATTCACTTAGTCAGTGAATGTCTTAGTCCAGTTGCAACTGTTCTTTTTTAATAAATGAGTTACGTTGTTATTTGCGATCAATAGCTGTTATTTTGATGTATGATGGTCGGGCTTGCTTATTGCAGTAGTGACCTAATGAGCTACACTGGCCGGACTGCATATTCCTGCAGATGTCCTACCGTGATGGAAAGGTTGTTTGTATAATGGGTAGACTAAAAGCTGTCGCCTACACGATGTTGGAGTTCTGTGGCCAAAGTCGTCCTGTGGTGAGAGCTGGCTGCTAGCCAAAGTTGGTAGACAGTAATTGACGTCAATGTTTATGTCCTCAATATTGGTGGTGAGAAAATGAGAACAAAGGCTTTGCGTAGGCGGATACAGTTAGCATATGGATGATCTGACACAGCCACAAAGAGAGGCAAGGTTAACTTTCTGTGAGAAACAACCAATCAAAAGACTGTATTTCCTACTAACAATGATCTACAATAATGTGCACTAAAATCTTTAAATATGTGTTGATTTTCCTTAATAAAGGATCTGTCGCCTGACCCTTGTCTTCTGTTGTTACAGTACTATCGGCAAATGGATATGTTACAGTAGCAAGGTGTTTCCCTCGGACGACTAATGTGTCAGCTATATTGCCTCTCTGCTATATTCAGGATGGTTTTTAGAAAAGGTTGACCCTGACTCATCTTGCATGTATCCGTAGTTGGACGGTAAGATCTTCATACGAACACAACCCTAGAAACCATTTGAAAAAGGTGGGTGTTTTTCGGTTGACCTTAAGTAAGTTGCTATTTGAGCTCTGCAGACACACAACACTAATGCTCTTTCTGTATATCTATAAGGCACTGAAGTATTTGTCATTAAATCACTTTTTTTTCTTTTCTCTTATCCTCCAGGAGCATAGAAGCGTTGAGCATAAATCACACAGATTCAGTGGAGTCATATCAACAAGGTGGTGAGTAGAAAATTTCGTTTAAATGAATCTTGTTTTGTATGTTAGTTGATTATTATTATTATTTGTTAACTCTTAACACATTTGATGTCAGTTTCGAACCCATAAGTAATTCCTGTTTCCCATTGGTAACTAAAATACAACTTTTATTATTTTGAGTTTGTATTTCCCTTTGGTCATTGATTATACTGCCTCAAAATGCTGGGTGTGTGTTGACATCTTGGCTCCCAATGCGGATGCTTCGACGATTATTATTATTGTTTCCTTTAATTCCTAGAGGAACATAGGGCTTCAGCCGTGCCTCTCCATTGCGTTCGGTTCTCAGCTAAAGTTTTCACCTGGCTCCAAGTCTGCCCACATGCTTTCATCTCCTCTTCATATGACCTCCTCCAAGTCACCCTTGCACTGACGACCAACTCGCCGCTTCCCTTTCGGGTTCCACTCGAGCAATGGCTTGTCTAGTGATGTCACTTGATGGTTTCCTCAGAGTATGGCAATCCAATCCACCTCCATTTCTTCCTGCCTATTTGTTTACAATCGGTTCCTGCTGTGTTGGTTCGCTCATTGCCAGAGATCTCTGTTGCTGATCTTTTCTGTCCGGCCATCTGATCTTGAGTGTATTGAGCGAAGACAGCTGTTGATGAAGGTCTGTAGTTTGTTTGAGATGCTCTTTATGACGCGCAGTGCAAGTCTCTGATCCGTATAGTAGCACTGACTTCACATTGGAGTTGAAAATCCGGATCTTATTTTTGATGCTGAGTGCTGTGTTGACTTCCACACAGACTTGAGAGTAGTGAAAGCTTGTCTTGCTTTTCCGATTCTTGCTTTGATATCCTCGTCAGTTCCGTCGGCCTGTAGTTGAAACGATGCTTCCCAGGCAGGTAGGTAAAGGAGGTTGTTTCTTTCAGGTTCCTCCCATTTATGCTGATTGTCTGTTGTTGTTGTTGTTGCTGTTGGTGGTGTTGGCCAGGAATCTTCATCACCTCTTTTTTCTCTATGTTCACCTGAAGTCCTATCTTTTGTGGATGCTTCTTCTGCCAACTTGTTGCTTTTCGCTTGCATATCTTCCAGTTTGTGGGAAATCAGACATATATCATCGGCGAAGTCCAGATCCTCCAAGTTTTTTGTGTGAATCCATTTTATGCCTGTTTCCTCATTGCCCACTGTTTGTCGCATTATCCAATCTACTGCAATCAGGAAAGTCATTGGCGATAGTAGGCAGCCAGCTTGTCTTACTCCTGTCCTCACTTCGAAGGATTCTGTAAGTTTCCCTTTGTGGATTACTTGGCATGCAGCATTGTCGTAAAGCTGTTGGATGAGATGTATTATTGTCGGTGGCACCCCATAGTAGCGTAGTAGTTTCCAAGTCACCTCTCGATCGACGCTGTCTAGAAGACCTTTTCAAAGTCGATGAAGTTGAGATGGAGAGGTGACTGCCATTCCAGGCTTTGTTCAATGATGATCCGTAATGTGGCGATTTGATCAATACACGACCTGTTTCTCCTGAATCCAGCCTGTTGCGGTCGAAGTTTTTCATCCAGGACTTGTTTGATTCTCTCCAGGATGATGCGGCTTAGTATTTTGCTTGGGATGGACAGGAGCATAATTCCGCTCCAGTTCTTGCATTGACTTAAGTCTTCTTTCTTTGACCGTTTGAATAAGTATTCTTTCTTCCAATCCTCTGGTACTTTGCCTTCTTTCCACACCTTCTCCAGTAGTGGCGTCATCAAGTCCGCTGTTGTCTCTGAGTCCATTTTCAATGCTTCTGCTGGGATTCCATCTGGTCCTGCTGCTTTCCCAGCTTTTAGCATCTTGATTGCCTTCAGGACTTCTGATTTCGTCGGAGGGTTGGTGTTCATTGGTAGCTCTGACTCCGTTGTTCGTATTGTTGGGCGCGTTGTAGGTGGTGGTCGATTTAGGAGTCTTTTGAAGTGTTCAGCCCAGTGTTTCCTTTGCTCCACTTCTTTGGTGAGTGACTTTCCGCTGTCATCCTTCACCGGCTTAATTTGTGTCAAACTTTTGCTCGATAGGTTCCTAGTTGTTTGGTAGAGTGTTGCGAGGTCTCCTTTGCCTGCAGCTTGTTCTGCTTCACTCGCCATGGTTTCATAATACTTTCTTTTGTCTTCTCTGGCACTCTTCTTTACTCTTTTGTTCAGTGTCTTGTAGTTTGCATTCAAATCCTGTTTTGTTGCTCATCGGTGCACTGGATAATCTTTTGTTTCACCATCCTTCTCTCTTCTATCAGTCTCCAAGTGTCCGTAGTGAGCCATTGTTTGTCCTGTCTCTTCTTTCTGCCTAGAACTTCCATGCAGGACTGACTCCACACTATTTTCAAGTTGCTCCAGTGCTTTTCGATGCTGACCTCTTCGCCAGTGTTGATTTGTGTCTCGGCTTTGTCCTTTATTCTTGCAGTGAAGATGTCCTTTGTGTCCTGGTCCTTCAGTTTTTGAGTGTTGAACTTGGCTTGTGGTCTATCTGCAGCTCCTGTTTCTCTGAAAGCTTTTAATTTGATTTGGATTGTCCCTTGTACTAGATAGTGGTTGACGATTAGCATGATGTTATTATGCCTGGTAGTGACTAGCACTGGAATCCAGGATGTGCGTTTCGACTTATTTGGGACTCATCATCTGGATGTATGTGCACTTTGTCTGCAGTTGACAATTACCAGTAGTTGTTGTTTTCTTTCAATTTGATTTTTTAAAACTTTATAACTCTTCTGTTTCTGGATTTCATCATGAACTGACATCGGTTAGAGGGCCATTGGAAAACCAACAGGGAGTACTCGACATCAGTTTCCTCCGTCCCAGTCTGGGACTCTTCATCAGTACGCACCCGCACCCAGAACCTTCTGGTAACAAGGCGAGCTAGCTCGTAGGTCATTAAGCCACTGGACCTGATCCAATGGCCAGCCTATGTATTCTAACTTCTGCCAATTCATGACCTAGCGCGCCCACTTCGTAATGTCTTCTTCGATGAGTAACTGTCCTCACCTTCGGTCTACTGCAACCTTGTAATTATTGTTCATCTTCCTCATATACCGTATATCATTGTTCTGATGATATTTCATATTATATGTTGACTTTATCCCTATTATTTGTCTATGTCACTGTGTAATCTCTAATTTAATGATTCTCTTTGTGGTTGTACAAAACACTGATAATGTGTTGTTTAATGACGTGATTTTGTTTGGGTGAATGAAGGTTACAACGGCCTTGGAGTATCTTCGGGAAACGATGGTGTTTGATTCTTGTGAACAAGAATTTTGATCTCACCTTGTTGGGCATATTCTATACTTGTGATTTGATAATGAATCTCTTACAGGCGTATGGACCTCTGTAATCCATTTTCCCACTTTGTTGATATGAAGGATTCGACATATCTAAGATGGGTCTCAGGTTTATGAATCTTTGGAAGGCCATACAGACGGGGAGTATGTGATCCAATAACTTTAAGTTGCATATAAATGTTTTCATTTACAAAAATATGCATCAGTAAAATCTAAAGCTGGTGATTAATCTGCTTTTCCACAAGCAGGTCAGGTCACAAAATCAATATTAATGACTGCTTCACAATTATTTCACCACATAACTCTAATTCAAGGTTATCTATCATAGGTAATGGAAGCACTTTGTGGATTAATCACATACATCCTAAACTATGTGTACAAAAAGGCAAAATAGACTTCAACCTTCCTTTGCCTACCATGAACTGACTACGTGACCTACTTAAATATGATTGGTCATTAGTATGTACTTTTGTTTTATATAACTGAGTGATTGTTATGCATTTTATTTTATTATTGTGAAGCATGGTAGTTGTAAAGCGGTTGTAAGGAAACTACTTAATGATATCATCTCGCAAAATTTGTCTTCTAAATGCCTTTTTCTAATATTTGTAAGTCTGAGGTCTAGTTTTGGTAACATTTCACGCAGTTTTGTTTATTATATTTCGATGTGCGTTGATGACTCCTATGATTGCACAGTTTTTAAATCGTGCCCTTCAAATATATATATATATATATATATATATATGATTACATTTTGTTAGGTTGAGGAACCCTCGTTCAAAATACTAATCAATACCCTTATGGGAATCAATTCAGAGGACTTTCCATTTCCATTACTTTGGTCTTCTGAGCATTTCTGATGTTTCAGTAGTGTCTTGTTGTCGTTTTATTTTGACGATAGCTCGTGGTGGGGGGGGTATGTTACTAGCTTGGCGCCAAACCTTCTTTCCCATCTGACCTTATTGCTGGCCAGTGAAACCAGGAGAGGTTTTGGAGTGTGTCCTTCGGAAATTGAAGTTTGGATCGTGTGTGTGGTTGGTGATCATTCTGTCGAGAGAACACCAACGCTCCTAGAGAACTTTTAATATTGGTAAATTGTCACCCTTTCTCTCTACATACTCAGCTATGATACCATATCTAAAAAAATAGAGTGCCTAAACTAACTACCTTTTCCATTGACATTATTTTGGTTTATGGGGATTAGCAGTCGACTCAAAGATGTTCACATTTCGTCCACCTTTGGACTTGTCGTCTGGTTGTACCTTCATCTCTATCCAAGTGAATGATAGTCCTCCCACTGAGATTTTAACTCTGTCTTCATTCCTTCACGTTTCCAGTGGAACATAGGGCTTCAAGCTAGAGCTTTGAAGTTTCGGTAGCAGTGGTATTTATTTTTATGGAATGGGGTTGCTAGCCTCATGCCCAACCTTTCCTCTTTACCAGTCTTATTACTGGCTTAGTGAGGTAAAGGAGAGCGTCAGCCAGGGATCGAACCCCAGACCATGTGCATGGTCGGCGAGCGCCCTAACCGCTGTGCCACCGACGCACTTTTAACTCTGTACTATGTATCAATCAACGCGAAATGCACTTTAATATGAACACATAATGTTACGCAAAGAGACTCTTTTCAATGAATTCATTATCCAGTCAAATACCTATACAATTTTCAAGAAACTCTGTCCTGTGAGAAAATTTGAACATAAGAGGCGTGAACGTTTGTAGTCACTTAATGTGAAATGTGTTAAATTGTCTGTGTTTATAATCTTTTTATGGATAAAATTTTATTTTGATAAAGTCACACAGTGTTGTTATACAGTAATATTTACTGATGACCACGTTTCGAGCACAATTTATTGCTCCTTATTATAATCATATCAACGTACTGACTCACACAACTTTCTGACCTCGTTTATATACATGAGTAACAAATTAATGATTAGACACATATGAATAAAAATCAATAAATATTCACTAAACACGCGTGAAACAGAAAGGCAGATGAAATACATTCGGAAATAATTTTAGTATTATCAACAAAATACAATAGGATGGGAAATAAGACGAGTGTTGTAAGTCAATAAGATGAGGAATAAGATGTTTTTCAGTTAAATAAAATAAATAACTTGTTGCGTTGAGTCACTTCTATTTGCATGTGTTAGGTGTAGACTCTGTAATCAATCTCCCTCTTCACCTACCTATATTACCTTTTAAAATTTTAACCCTCTCCCATCCTATTGTATGGTTATGTGTTCTTGCATGCAGTTCTATTGCTGAATTTTTCTTCTAAATTACTTATCTTCGTGGGATCAATCATTCTAATCTAAACTAAATTCTTCTTTATTAGGTGGTCGGAGGCAATCGGCAGGAAGTCTTACATGACCTTGGTTTTATGCTAGTTGGCACTCACCAGTCAGCAGGGCGTATCTATAACCTCCAAGGAACTCATGTCCCTCCTTCTGAGATTCGAACCAGCGTCACCCAGCGAGTACTGCAGTCAGAGACGTTATCACTGAGCCAGCTGTTCGGGCTCGCGATTGACCTCCTGTGGGACTGTATTGGATACTTTGATACAGGAGGTCAGTCGCGAGCCCGAACAGCTGCCTCAGTGGTAACCTCTCTGATTGCAGCATTCACTAGGTGATGCTGGTTCGAGTCTCAGAAGGGACATGAGTTCCTTCAAGTTCGCAGATACGCCTTGCTGACTGATGAGTGCCCACTAGCACGAAACCAAGGTCATCCAAGGCTTCCTGTCGACTGACTCCAACCACCTAATACCAATAATTCACAGTGCACAGTGATGGCGAGCTACATAGAATCGTGGCCACATTACAAACATGCCTGATAGAATTCAGTCGGCACGAAAGATAGGAGTAGACATATTTCACTAGCTACTGAGTAATGTCCACTTATGTTCTTATATTCTGACAATCTGACTACTCTCGATCTACTTACTAGTTTTGTAACGACAGAAGACAAGGGCCAGGCTACAGATCGTTTATTTACGAAATCAACACATATCTATAGATTTTCATGTACATTATTACAGATTATTGTTAGCAGAAATACAGTCTTCTGATTGGTTGTTTCTTCACTGAAAGTTAATCTTTTATCTCTTTGTGGCTGTTTCTTGAATGTCAGATCATCTATATGCTAACTGTATCCGCCTACTCGAAGTCTTTGCTCATATTTTTCTCACAACCAATATTGGGGACATAAACATTGACGTAAATTACTGTCTACCAACTTTGGTTAGCAGCCAGCTCTCACCACAGTTTGACCTATGTAGTTGACTTAATTCAAAGTCATTGCAAGGCATTTCGTAAATTATATTATTTTGTCTAATCTGATCAATGGGCAGGGTCCTTAAAACCTACAGAGCTTGTACCTGACTGGGTGTGTAGGTTTCAATGCCATCCTTATTCCCGCCTTATTAGGAATCCCACGTAGGGTTTCAGATGTTCCATCCTTATATAGTAAAACTACTGTAGATGCCTTTTATTCTCCGCCATACAAATAACGGATGAGATGAATTAAAGTCTAAATATCTATTAGGATGTGTTGGTTTTTATAAACATTAGTGTGCAGTCTACCTTCTTCTATTCGTTTTATTTTACAATCTAACACTAGAGCTAATTCTCCTTGTTCATTTTTTGATTCAAATGTGGATTTATTCCCTTTACTAGTGAGTTTACGTATGTGAAGACGCTAGAGATATGTTTTGTTTTTAACACTGTGAAAGTGTCATCCACATATCTCCACAATATTTTTGAAGTAGGATTAAATATATTAAGAGCAATATTTTCCCAGCTATCCAATAAGATATCTACTGCTATCGAGGATGTTGGTGATCCCGTTGCTACACCTTCTGTTTGTCTATATATTCTGCACTGAAATTTAAAGATAGTAAACGTGAGTTATAATTGAATTCCTGAAGTAATCTCCTCAATGAGTAGGTTTGTCCCATGAGTTCAGGATCAGCAGTTAGTTCTCTTTTTTTAATTGCTTTTAACACTTTTAACACTCGTCTTAATTCCCATCGTATTAGATTTTATTGATAACACAGTGGGGGTGTATACTACCGATGAGTCCCAAACTAGGATGAAATAGCTGTCCAGTACTCCGTGGTTTTCAGTGGTTCTCTAATCGACTTCAATTCGTGGTCTTATCTGAAACAAACAGAATCCCTACAAAAACCAATTCTGATGCTCGTTAGTGATTGGCTACGGGGCGAAGTTGCCTGGATTTCTACTAAGATGGTCGTGACCAGTGGGGTCCATCCAGTCGGTAGTGAGGTTGGAGTTCCGGCCGATGACATTGGTTGATGGTCGCGCTGAAATCACGAATTTGTAGAAGTTAGAATTTATGAGCTGGCCATTGAGTCGGGTGGGTCCCATTAGCTGAATGGTGTACGAGCTTGCCTTGTAGCCAGAAGGTCGTCGGTTCGAGCTCCTATTGTGGTGAGAGCTGGCTGCTAGCCAAGGTTGGTAGACAGTAATTGACGTCAATGTTTATGTCCCCAATATTGGTGGTGAGAAAATGAGAACAAAGGCTTTGCGTAGGCGGATACAGTTAGCATATGGATGATCTGACACAGCCACAAAGAGATGTAAGGTTAACTTTCTGTGAGAAACAACCAATCAAAAGACTGTATTTTCTACTAACAATAATCTACAATAATGTACATTAAAATCTATAAATATGTGTTGATTTTCCTTAATAAAGGATCTGTTGCCTGACCCTTGTCTTCTGTTGTTATACTACGGTGGGTGTGTGTGCTGCCGATGATTCCCCAATAAGGATAACTTTAATATTGTTTCCGAATGTACCTTATCTTCCTTTCTGTTTCACGCGTGTCTATTGGACTTTAGATTGATTTTTATTCATATGTCTAATCATTACTTTGTTACTCATGTATATAAACGAGGTCAGAAAGTGGTGTGAGTCAGTACGTTGATATGATTATAATAAGGAGTAATAAATTGTGCTCGAAACTTGGTCATCAGTAAATATTACTGTATAACAACACTGTGTGACTTTATCAAAATAAAATTTTCTCCATAATGGAATTATACTCTACCGCCACAGTGCTCAAGTTTTATCCTTATATCGACTATAATCTCAGTTCAACATGAAGCGATAAAAGAAATAATATCATATGTAAGAAAAGTTCATAGTATGTATAGTTTGTGGAAAGGGATGTACAGTTAATAGGATTAAATCGGATTGGTAGACGAATAAAAACATCACGTAATGTTGTAGGACTGTGATTATAATCACAAATATTTTGTCACAACTGAAATTATGGGTAAAATTTGTTTTGATAAAGTCTCACAGTGTTATACAGTAATATTTACTGATGACCACGTTTCGAGCACAATTTATTGCTCATAATCATATCAAGTTACTCACACAACTTCTTTCCTTCTTTTATATATATGTATGGAATTAACTAGATATTTGAATAAAAATCAATATGTGATAATGTACATTCAGAAATAATTATATGAGTGTTAATGATCAAATACAATTAGATGGGAAATAAGACGAATGTTCTTATAGTTATAATAAGTAATTTGTTGGAATGTTGTGATTTGCTTGAATTGAAATA